TATTTCCGGCTGAGTACTGTGTGTTCAGATGTGATCGTGACTTTATTCGATCTGGCCTAGTTTCTGGCGGAGGAGTCCTGATAGCCATAAAACGAGATTTCCATGCAATTAGAATTGACGCTAGTGCTTTGAGTCGAAACTTTCCGTCGATTGATACTGTATGTATTAGGCTTCGCCTTCAATTAATTTGGACATGTTTGGTCAGTACCTTGAAGCTTTGGAAGTATTTAACAATGCATTCAGTAATTGTAAAATAATTGTTGCTGGTGACTTTAATGTCGCATCATTCATCAGTGACGTTAATGATCAGAAGTCTCAATAATGAGCAACTTTATTTCGTTTTTAGATTTAACTAATTTTAATAATATTCAAAATATAAATGGTCGAATACTGGATTTAATTTTAGGAAATATCGAAATAGAAGTCCTCAGAGATAATACACCTTCTGTTAAAGAGGACGTTCATCATCCTGCACTGATCATGGAATTCATGACATCCAGATCTCCAACGAAATTCCCATTTGCTAATTCTCCACGGTTTAACTTTCGCAAAGCTAACTTTCCTGAAATGTACACAGCCTTGCAAGATGTTAATTGGACGGAGGTGATCAGTGCAGCTAATGTTGATGTCGCTTGTACCGCCTTGTATTCAGTTATCAATAACATCTTTGAGGTCCATGTCCATAAATGTAAAAATAAAATGTTTTCGTATCCCCCATGGTTCACACGTGAAATTATACTTAATATCAAGAAAAAGGACATAGCAAGAAGGAACTGGAAACGTGACGATACAAGTTTTCTTATGATCAGTTCAGTAATTTTAGGAAGCTCATTAAGAACCAGATCAGTGTTGCCTACTCGGCTTACGTCCAATCGGTGGAGGATGCCATTGTCAATGATCCTAACAAATTCTGGTCATTTGCCCAGATCAAAAAACAGCAATCTAGAATCCCCCCAAGGATGACGCTTAACGGCAATGTCTGCGATACGCCTCAGGATATAGTGGACAGTTTTGCTACCTTCTTTTCAACAGTTTTTATCCCGTCTGGTCTACTAGGGTCATCTCCTCCAACAAATAATTCTACCGATATCATTTCTTTAAAAAATATAAGTGGAAAAAACGTAATTAGGGCTTCGAAAAGATTAAAGAACAAAATGACGTCTGGATGTGATGGTATTCCAAGTTTTTTCGTTAAAGATTGCATTTATATACTAGCGAAACCGCTGGCTTCCATATTCAACCTAATTCTAAAATCAGAGACGTATCCAAATATCTGGAAGACCTCTAAAATATGTCCTATTCACAAAAGTGGAGATATCTCTGATATTTCCAACTATCGCCAAATAGCAATCCTGCGCAATTTCAGCAAGTTGTTTGAGATCATCGCTTATGAAACGGTTTACTGCTCGGTCAGGGGTGCAGTCTCTATTAATCAGCATGGGTTTATGAGAGGCAGATCTACGGTCACCAACTTCGTTCTGATTACTCAGTACATTTCTGAAGTACTGGACGGTCAGGGACAAGTTGATGTCATCTACACAGATATTCAGAAGGCGTTTGATCAAGTTGATCAGTATGCACTTCTGGATAAGCTTAAAACAGTGAGTATGTCTGATGCAATGCTGTCGCTCATGAATTCATATTTGAGGGATAGAAGGTTATTTGTCGAATATGGTGGTCATAGGTGGAGTTACTATCGGGCCACGTCTGGGGTACCTCAAGGGTCAAATCTAGGTCCATTATTGTTTTTAATATTTATTAATGACTTGTCTTTTGAACTAAAGTGTTTCCATTTGTTTTTCGCTGATGACCTTAAAATCTGCACGTCAGTCAAGACAGTCGAGGATTGCGTCATGTTGCAAGATGACTTAGCTCTAATTTCGTCATGGTGTTCACGAAACTGTCTCGGTCTGAATGTTTCGAAATGTAAAGTTATGACTTATACAAGAAAAGTTAACTATTTAATTTATGATAATTATAACATCAATGGTCAGGTTATAGACTGATGCACCTCTTATAGAGACCTTGGAGTCATTTTTGATACCAAGCTAACGTTTACTGAGCATATACTCAATATCTCGTCGGCTGCCACTCGACTACTTGGTTTCTGTATCAGAAACTGGAAGGGTTTCTCCAATGTTGATACATTAATGACTTAATTTTTTACTTTTGTCAGGAGCAAGTTGGAGTATGCGACTCTGATCTGGTCTCCTATATACCAAAATTCTGTCGTGATCCTTGAGGCCATTCAACGTAAAGCTTTAAAGTATTTTCACCTCAAATGCACAGGTTCTTATCCAGAAAGAGGTTGTGACCATAGTGCCCTATTAGAGTTTTTCAATTTGGATTCACTGTCAACAAGACGAAACATATTTGCTTTGTCGTTTTTGTATGGCCTCATTCACAGTAAAATTGACTGTCAAAATTTACTTGAAAGAATATGTTTCCGCGTTCCAAGGCTAGGGAGTCGACAACAAACGGCAATCTATTGTCAAACTGGCCGTACAAATGTTATGACAAAATCGCCAATTAATCTCATGTGCTGCGTCATGAACAGTGTTACTGAATCGTGTGATATTTACAGTGACAGTTGTGCATCGATTATTAACTGCTATAGATCATCCAATCTTATTTAGAATATGTGATACTATAGATTTAAGTCCAAGAACCATGTCTCTTTAATTGTTATTTTTTTTCAGCGTTTCCTGTAATTGGGTTTCACCTGTTGGAAATAAAATAAATAAAATAAAATAAAAATTGTCACACAGCATTTGATTGGCCAGTTTTAGGCGGAACCGTATTTAAAAATTTGTGATAGTAGAATAGAAATTTATAATCAGCTGTCATTGAAACTTTGAGGAAAGGAAATTAATTACATTCAAATTGAGTCCGTTTAATATCGATATTTTTATCAAAAATACATACAAACTAGCTAAAAATTAACAAGAAATTGTTTTTTTTCCTTTAATTCGGTCCTGCACTGTCAACTACCATACTATTTACATATTTTAAGCAATTTCTCAATATTTCTCCTTTAGCCTGCCTTGACTATACCTACTGTAGTGTCAAGGCTCAATATCTTCGTTACTATTAGAGTTGCAAAAAAAAGTTAAAGACAACCTAAAATTATTTTTAACTATACAGGGTTACTGGTAATATAAACTATTGTTTTGAATGGTACGCCCTGTATTTCTGTGGATTTTCAGAAGCGCCTTTTCTTGACGATTCCGCTATTGTATGGTTTCGGGGTCTTGTACTGGGTATTTCGGAATATATGGCCGATGAAATTATAAAAAGGTGCTTTCCTTTTGAAGAAATTTACTTTTTGGTAATTCGAGAATATAATTTTTATTGTTTTTCGACTACCCTGTATTATTTGTTATGTAAATCTATATTAGAATCTACTAAAGTAGGTCCCATACAACACGAAAACAGTTACAAATCATATGACAAAGGCAAACATACGAGAAAAAAGTCTTATAATTTATTGGCCTGAGTTTACCTTTTACATATAATTTTAGATATCTCAAAGACAGCTAAACTGAGAGGTCGGATAAAATATGAGAGGCAGAGGGTTAAAAAGTTGTCACCTTGAGAAATCTTTTGACGTGTCTCGGCGTGTTTTCTTTTAATCAGTGGTACACAATGTATATACATTGTTCGATTTTAAATAAGCAATTGGAGGAGGCTGAGATATGATCTTTCATTTGGAAGAAGCTTAAAAACACTTACTTTACACTTTATTCATATCCACTTGATACAGATTTATATATGTGGTGAAAAAATGTAACATAAAAGAATAAAAACCAATAAAAATAATAATTATTGATACCACCTTTACTTACTTAAGTGCAAGTTCGTACATTTTAAGTACTCGGCTATTCCTTAAAACGAATTTCTTAACAATAACTTCTTAACATATTTTGAAATGAAATATAATTACTAACGTGTTGAATTTTAACTGAGACCTTTTGAAATAGGTGGTAGGATGTTTCTGAACTATTTTCAAATGCTGAATTCTTGTGCTGTACTCGTAATATACAGTTATTTAGCAACAAAGTTTGGTTAAATCAATCGCAAACTATGTACTAAATTCCCATTTAAAATAAGTACGAGATATTTCCTTATATTTCTTCAAGAAATAACTTTTTTGCCACAAAAAAACGTTCCAATAGCTATTTTCAACAACAAAATTATAAACAAACCATGGGCGTAGTAAAGAAAAGCATTTACTTATTAAGTAAATTCTTTTAGTCAAATTTCTTCTGAAAGTAGTACAAACTGATCTGATGTACCTATTAAAGTCTACTTTAAGCTTTAAATCAATACCACTGAACTGAAGTACATTATTTTGATATCATTATAACGGGAATTGAAAGACCTTTAAAATAAGGTATCACTCGACCCCCCCTTTCCATTTAAGATTTTGGGGGTGGTGTCACTCCTGCTTAGGGGGCTGCACGTGTTAACGTGATTTTTTGCCAAACTTGTAAACCCCTCGAAAACAAAATCGACGGGTCTGAGCGTTTTTCCAAAAAAAACTCTGCTGCCAGTAAATGCGTCTGTTTTCGATGCGCCACTCTGTATATTCATATTTGGTAATAATCTATTATACTTCTTAACTTGGGTTACGCATTCCAAAATCCAAGTGAAATGCATATCGAAGATTTCATCTTCTTTAAAAGGTAAATATGGAGTATGTTTTCAATACATGGCTGTGATGATGGAAATTCCAAACGAACGTCCAGAGTATAGGGTTAGGCAAAAGACGAACCTTTTGCGGAAATGTATCTGCCTCCAAAACTTTTTGAGAAGCGGAGGGTGGCAAATTTTAAAAATTCTCAAAAAAGAAGTAAACAGAATCATTCTAAGTATGCAAACTTTATGGCCATGGCCTCGTCTGGCACCCCCTGCGGGCACTCAAAGATGTTACTAGTATATTTGGAAACTGCTTTAGTAATGCTTCAGTGCACCCAAGGTAGATAAATTCCAATACTTACGATTGTAGCATAGCAACAGTTGTACTTCTTGGTCCTCGTACAAATCCACAGCTGCGACCAACCTAGTTCTAGCAGCGTCAACTGCATGTAGGTGCCTTGCTTGTCCAGTTCGCCCATTTACAACGTCCCAATGATGCTTGTAGCCTACGCACACGTAAGCATCAGCGATAGAATGATGTCCTGGGGATCTAGGAGACCATCCCGCGTCGAGAACCGTCAAGAGGGTTGGATGCTCTGTTAGTGTAACCTCCTGGAATAATAAAATAGTGGGCTTGAAGAACCTGAGATAATTAGGAAAGAAAACTATTACATGATATCTGAGGGCACATTTATTGAAAAAAGTTTTTTTTTAATATTTGATGACTTTTATAAAACAAAAGATTGGTATAACATACTCATGGGTCTTGATTGATATTTGTTGAGCTGTTGGGTGTTATAACTCCCTCATATAACCGAAACTCTGGGTACCAGCGAGAAACCCTCGTACATCGACCAAAACATTCGACAGGTGTCCAGAAACATCGACGCTTAGGCAACCAGGGTTGCGCGGTTGTGCGTGAGCGATTGCTGTCTCATTGAGGCGGTTCGGTCGCCATCGGAAACGTTCAGGAGGTATCGATGTAACGCGCGGATGGTCTGAGCTGCTTTCCAGTGGTTTTTGGTTTGAGAGTGATACGCTCCCAAACTGCTCCAGAAACAATGCACGAGAATACGATGTGCAGTGGAACCGTATTGGTGCTGAGCACTATTGTGTTACTCCGAGTTACTCAGAGTAACTCAACAGGGTCACTTCGGTGAATTCAAAATAATTAAGCAGGCATCTCCACCAGAGGAACAGTCAACAGGCAGCGATCGATACATCGATATAGTCTAGTCGACGTGGTTATAAACTTGTCATACATTAGTTGCAAGTGTTGTTGTAAATTAGTATAGCAGTAATACATCAGACCTTAAGCAGCAAAACTGTGTAATCGTTACAGTATTTTACTTAAAAAGCCTGACGTCGTACATATCTGCTATCTTGTCGCATCTCTGTACTACTATGCGAGTTTTATGTCAAAGAATTTTTATTGTCTCCAAATTTTAGCACAACTGACGAGTGTTTTGGTTGATCAGTATATGATAGTGAAAAGCGCAAAATGTATTTGGCTATTCAGATTACACATTTTGTGAGATTTTTTTCAGAGATAAATATCCAGGGGATTTGTATGAATAGTTATTTTTAGTTTTAGCTTTACTAAATAGTCTGAACAACGACGTAACAAGGATTCGAAAATGTGCATAGCTTAAAACTACCATACAAAATATATGAAAGTGAACACGTATAGTTTTTTGGACATACTCGAAGATAATTACTCACTAATTTCGGATTAGAATGCATTGACTTTCAACTCCACCTTAACTATGTGAGAATTGGAATGTTTAGGTTTTTAATCTTTCATACATCTGCATCTAATTTAGTATCCTAATGATTGGTTGTCACACTATTTTATACAACATGTAGCACATCTTGTTTTAATTATAAATCTACCCTTTACAGAAACATGGAACTGCTTTGATTTCATGGATAAGGTCTGTTTGTTGAAGATTTCTACAATGTCAGTTTTATATAATTATTCGTTTACACATTTTTGAATCCATTTTCTGTATTTTCACATTCTTGTCTGTTTAAATTACATCACCTTGCATTTTTAATATTCATAAAGTGTTTTTTAATTACAGCTTAAATATTTTTAAATTCGAACACTGTTTAATATCAGTATTCAATTTATTGAATTCAGATTTGCTAGTTCTGCTACTATTACAATTTTGCATATGAAAATCTATACTCTAGTTTCGTAGTTATGATAATGGCTATCCAATTTTGTGAACTTTTCTAAATGTGGTGGTAATAAATGAATTTTTAATTTGAATATGAAAATGAGAACTGAATAATATATGAAACTTTTTATATTCAACCACTTCTTCTAACATAGACTTAATCCTAGCATATTTGTTTTTATTTAAAGTGAATGTCATAGCTTTATTTTGTAATTTTGAAAATATGTTTTCATTTGCTGTAAACAAGATGGTAAAACAATTTAAGAAATGGGGAAGAATTATAGAGGTATACACAGTTTTTTTGGAATACATACTAAGACTATGGGAAACTCTATAGAACTAATTTATCTTTTTTGATATTTTTGAAACAATGCATTCATAATGCTCGTGAAATGGTAGCTTACTATTCACATACGAGTATATTCCCAGATATTTAAATTAATCGACTACTTCATTTTTTCATCATTAATCATGAACCTATTTGTGTTGTCACCTAAATGTTTCCCTATTGACATACATTTTGTTTTATTAGTGTTTAATTTAAAATTATTAACGTTTAACCATTTCATAATTTTTTAATATCACCATTTAACAGTTCTAAAGCAGCGTCTAAATGTTTATGAAATGTGTCGACCGCAAATATTTAAACTTTGCAATGTTCTAAAATGTCCAAGTTCATTTATATAACTAATAAACAGTAACGGCCCTAATTTACTCCCCTGTGGCACCCCTACTGAAATACAAACAGGACATAATATTTACAAGTTCATTTTTTTGACTTCTATTTACTAAATAATTTTGTAAAATATTTCATACTGATCCTTCAAAACCACAGTGATGTGAATTTCATTAACAATTTTTCCCTATCTATAGCCTCAAAAGCCCTTTTGTAGTCTAAAAATACTGTTACAATACATCCTTTCTCATCTATACTTCTTAGGTTTAGTGATATTTCATCTATATTAAAGGGCTTAATTTAATTATGAATATAATATATATATATATATATATATATTATTAGAATCAAAATAATGAAATTACGGACGTTGGTTTTTGACAGACAAATTTGGTAAATGCAGCCCCGACCGCCCACGGTCGGCGCGCCGGTGGTCGATCGAGGCCAGTCTGTGCGTACCGCTCGAATAGTACGGAGCCTGTCGTGGTCTGTGTTTTGCTAGTTGTCTTATCTTATCACCAAAATTCTATCATCAGAAGTGGGATTGAATCTGCGTCCACGCTGTAAGTCCTATTGCAATGTTTATGTATATTGAATGCAGCAGGATATCTGTTATTGTGGCAGTTATTTTTTCTATGCCATTGTTTTTTGCTGTTATTATTTTTGTTACTCGCCGTATTGGTTGTACATACATACCAGATATAATCAGAGACGAACTGATTACACATTTCATAGCGTCTGTCGGTTCGGTGATGTAAATAAAGCATATACGTATATGGAATTGTTTTGGGCACGTCTTGCTGTGAGAATCTTGTTTTTTTTTTAACTGTTGACATTAGTAATGCATGGTTGATTAAGGATTATTGGATTGATATAAAATACATTTAAGTAAAAAAAAAAAAAAAAAAAAAAAAAAAAAAAAAAAAAAAAACAACAATACCATTGCATGAGATTGTTTTAACCACACTTGAATCACAATTCATTTATAATTGGCAATTAAAAGGAAGCAGCAGTGGAGTATATTGTAGGTACAATAATTGAATCGGAAGATTATGTTATTCATTTAGATTTTCTACACGTGCAACAAGCGCATATCCATATTGAATGGATTTCCAGAAATATTTTCTTTTAACACGATTTGCTATACAAGCTAGGTCTCTTTGCTGTTATATGATTTTATCAGTCGGGTCCATTTCTGAGTTTGTGTTTACACTTACAGGTAAAAGATAAGTAAATAAATAAATCATCATGGAAGGGCTTGGTGCTAGTACCTCAACCAAGGATTTTCTGACGGAGCTAGTTAAGGCTCTCAAATCATCGCGCACAGCACCTGAACAAGTAGATTTACCAATTTTCAGACCAGATTTGAGCGATGCAAAAAAATGGCTGGCCGAGGTAGAAAGTATAAAAAGTGAATTTGAATGGTCTGACCAACAGACTATCGTGAGGTTGGGTCGATTTTTAACGGGAATATCTAAAACGTGGTTTGAAAACTGGGCACCAGATGTAAAAAACTGGGACACTTTTGTACGTGACTTTTTGGAGGCGTTTCCACCCAAAAAAATTTTGGGTGAATTACTTCTGAAAGCGGCTCAATTCAATAGTCACAACTGCAATACGTACGAGGCGTACGTCTTTGAGAAAGTTACTCTGCTTCGAAACCTACGGGCACACTGGGACGAGACAGATCTTGTTGAGATAATCATCCACGGAATTATGGAACGTGACGTGCGTGTCACTGCCGGCAATCAGAATCATAAAAAAATATCCGATCTCATTTCTTATTTAGGATCAGTGCCGAAATGTCGTTCCGGAGAGTCAAGGGCGGATAATACAACTTCGGAAATAAGGGAACCGCCCGGTAAACGGTTCCGTGAGAGCATCGAGGATGATAGAAAACGCAAAAGACCACTCATGTGTTATAATTGTGGAAAAAGAGGTCATATCCAGAAATTTTGCATTGAAGTTAATAAAAATGACGAAACACAGAAAAATTCATCTCCTGCAAATTATTTGAAGTCATCTAAGGTAACCTCTGAGTTAGTGTGTTCCTTCTGTGCTAAAAGTGGACATAAAATTGATGATTGTTTTATAAAAAAGGGGATCGAGAAACGCCGTAATGTGAATCGTTGCAGTAGTGGTAAATCAGGTACTACCGAGGTGATGACGGTCAATGGAATAACGATGAAAGGCATTGTAGATACGGGTGCTGATATTTCATTAATCGCTCGAAAACATGCTGAAAAGTTTCAGGATAAACTAATACCCACTCTCACCACAATTAGCGGTGTATTACCTGGCTGTTATGTTTCTGAAAAATCGTTAATTGCTGACTTTGAGATGTCCGGTGTAAGAACAGAACTCACATTCATTGTTGTGCCTGATAGTTTTCTCGAAAACGACGTATTGGTGGGCTGCAATCTTTATGACGATCCCGACATCGTGACAATCACAAATTATGCTGGTACCAAAATTGTCAAGAACAAAGTTGCTAGAGTTCTTGATACCTTGCCGAATGCTGAAGATCTTGAGGTGGATGTACCAGATATACACAAGTCCAAATTGTTGAAACTTCTTTCCCATTATAGAGACATTGTAGCGGCTAGTGCAAACGCTGTCACCTGTGTAAATAACACCTCAATGCACATAAGACTTCGCGATGACTTCGTTGTTAATAGAAGCCCTTACCGATTATCAATAAATGAAAGGAAAATTGTTCAAGACATTGTTAATGACCTGTTAAATAACCGTAT